AGCAGCCGTCTTGAGCGACGGCTCCTCGAGGTTCTTCGTGACTGCCTTTTCTAAGGCCAGCATTCGTTCTTCTATTCGTGAAGCCTTCAGCTTCGATTGTTCCATCGTAGCGTGGGCTTTGAAGGCATCGAGTGCCTCACCTATTTCGACCATCGGTGTCGCAGATTTTTCAGTGCCTGCTATCACCAGTCTGTCTCTGACCTTATTTAGATAAAGCCCTACTGTCTTAAGCGATCCATTTTGACGCCTGTAGAGGTCGCGAGAGACTCTACAGCCATAATTGCAGCGGTTCCGCTGTCCGTTAGTGGTGGTTTTGGCGCCTTGAAATCCACCTTTCTGGCTCTCCAACTCGTCATGACGAAGCGCAACGTGAAAAGATTGGGTAATCAGATAAGAAGGACTGATTAAGATGGTAACAATTGTAAAAACGATGAAATAACGTTCATGGAACGTGGTACCGCTTTTGACCAAATCCATATCTTTGGATTGTTTTTTCAATTATTTATTGTATATTCAGTTGTAGAGTCATGATATATGATCAGTGTCTCATGCACAGGTTAAATGGAATTTTTTTAATTTGGACACTCATATTCTAGATATCATTCAGAAATACCACTATGAGGTTTATTTATTTACACAAGACAGTCGTTCATCGTTCATGGGTAACCATCAAATTGAAGTTGCAAAATCAATGATTATATAAGTATTCCTTCGTCATCCTGTACATTGGCACGGAGAGTGATTTGGTTATTGAAATAAGGATGGACTACATCGTGCGTGTGGACTGGATGATACTTTGCTCAGAAACGATCTTTTTGGGAATGGAAATCTGATTTGGTCGGGAGTATTAAATCGTTGCCTAGCGGGCAAAATTCATCAATATTTCGAAATTTAAACAAGCTCAGATCTGAGAGAATACGTCACTTACGAATGCTAGGAAGATAGCACTATCAATTTTTCAGTCTATGCCCTATATTTTTCCATTCTCTAATGGACGATCAGCAGATTTGAGAATTAACAATTTAAGACTACCATGTACCCGGAATAGCGCTATTACCATGTATTATACCAAAATCCACTGGATCCGTATCTAGCAGCTAAGTTTGGATGCCAAAATCCAAATCTGCCTTTTTTTTTAACATCTATTGTGATGGTTATCAGCCATCCAGTGAGCCAAGTAAAACATCTACGAATTTTACTTCCAGATTCAGTGATAGCGATAGTTGTCCAGTAGCAGCGTTATGAGAGTTATTTTTTGTTAACGGTAAATATCCAATAATTCATAGGCTAGGTTGACGGATAAAAAGAGATGCATCACTCGACAGAATGAATGAATGAAAGTTTATTCGTGACGGGAACAAGCCCTGCACTCAAAGAGCATGATACGGAGAAGACTAGCTTCTCCGACGACTATATACGACGATAACTTAGTTTGTTATTTGGACTACTCATGTAGTAGGTGCATTCGCTAATACCACTCGAGACCTTGGTGCTAGGGACTTTCACTCTTCCCTCAACCGTTAATATCCAGCAAAGGGATAACAGGAAAAACCTTTGGCTACCCTAACATGCCTTTGTCATCCTTTAGATAGCCGCCGCGCGAGATATGGCCTCACAGTCCTCCATTTCTCGAGTGAGGTAGATGTCCAGGCTACCTAGACTTTAATTCGGGGAGATGACGACCCGGAGGCGGACCAAAACACCTTCCATCGTTGCCTGTTTTTAGAGTGTCGGTAGCACTATCCTAAATCATTGCCTTGGCGCCCACAGACACTCGTAAGTCGAAAACACTCAAAAAATGTACGTCCCAGCATGCGCGTTTGTGACCTCTTCACTCGTTCGTCCCACGTCCCAGCTGTCTGTTCTCTCTCAAGATTTGAAGCTCCATTAGAGCAACGGTCCCTCATAGACCAAGACCCGAGTTTTGTAGATTATGACTTAAATTCCTCCTCGCGGGTATACATAGCATCGTATTTTTTTTTGAGTCATTTAATGTGTATTCAGCTATCTAGCTATGACACATGACCGGTGCTATGTATACATATGGGATGACTCTTTTGACGTTAGAGACACTCATACTCTGGATTTCATTCGCAAATACCACTATGAAGTATGTTCGCTTACACAAACAGTCGACCCTCCTCCGTTAGTACCCACCAAAGGGAAATTAAAAACCTTTGGTTATCCAAGCATGCCTTCGTCATCCATGCATACCAGCGCCGCGAGAAATGCGGTTGTGTTTTGCTGGATTTTAACCAGCGAGCTACTGTCTCGAGTGGGATATGTGTCCAAGCTATCCAGACTCTACTTGGCATACCGGGCAAGACGATGTACCACCGCACCATCCAACCATGGCAGCTTTTATTGTGTCGCCTGCACTCTCGCAACCGAAGACTTAGGACGCACAAAGCTCAATTTGTAAAAACTCCTTGCTAAATTTCAAAATTCCACGCCCTTCGAGACTGTATCCATCCTCTGCATCATCCTATCAACTTGTCCTGATCCCTCTCACATCCATCCCAAGGAATTGTCTTCCAGATTTGTGCGCCACGCTTTGCTTCCTCCGTCGGGTGTAAATATCGGCGTGGGCGTGTATCTGGCGACCAGCTAAGGCCAAAGAAAGTCGAAAAGAAGTGTGGTCATTGGAATGAGGATGTACTAGGTCGTACTTGTAGACTTGATGAGGCTTAGGTAGGAATCGATTTCGTTGGGATTGAAAGATTGATATGGTGGAGTATTTTGAATCATTGCCTCGTGGGCCAACTTGATCGGTATTGCGAATTTTGACTGAACTTGGCTCTGGGAGAATATTTCACTCCCAAATTCGTAGAGGACACCGCGTACAGGTGTTCAGTCTTGCCCTCCGCCATAGCATCATAAATGTGTAGTGGGAGATGACCGGTTTTTGATGAGGCAAATGCCCGATTGCAATTGGAGTAACGCCATTATTGGTATTTGAGGCGAGGTGGTGTAGTAAGATTGAGTTGGAGGACTCGCGTGAGAATGGTAGATCCGACATTGACGAGAAATCGTCGATTTTAGATGTGCTTGTAAATCACTCGACAAAAATTGTGATGTACTTCAAATTAGTAAAGTATTATTATTATTATTCATTATTTTTATAACATCGTCTGTGTCTATGACTATGTAGGACATGCAGGTCCTGTCTGCCTATAGGCCAAGCATACCTATACCAGTAGTATATCCCCTCCTATGCCTCCCATACAGCTCCCCTCAAACAGTACCACCCCTTACAAGTCCTTATTCGATCATACACTAAGAGGAGCCCTTTGCCCTTCATTATCTCCCCTCTCCAGCCAACGAAAAGATGGCCATTTGCGGGTGTGAAGCAGCCGGGAAAAATCGCAAAAAACCACCGGATGCAGGGCTCTTCTAATACCGACATTAGGACTAGATCCGAAGACATAGTGATCCTTCTGAAGCGTTCGAAGAGGCCGGCCAGCTGGGCGCTGCAGACTTGTGGGTACCTCGGGAAATTCACTCTCTGCCTCTCTAGCCTCCTTCCAACTCTTTCCCGAAGATCGTGCTGAAATGTCAGAAAATTCTTGACAGAGCATGAATGCTGTATATTAGCTTAGCCTAGCTTCTCTTGTACCGTCCAGGGCGCTGGGGAGTGCCGTTGACTCATCGACAAGAGAAGCCCTCCTGACTAATTTGCCGAAATCATGGTCTTGGCGCCCATAAACGTTCTAAAGTTGAAAATCCATCGAAAATGTCGGTCCAAGAATAATCTTCAGATACCTCTTCCCCTTCTCGCTACACATCTCAGCCACCTGGCCTCTCTCAAGTTGTATGATCCCATTAGAGCAAGTCACCCATAAATAAGGACCAGGCTTTGTATTTTTCGACTTGATTTCCTCCTTGCGGGTATAAATATCGTCATAAATTTGTAGTGAGAGATGGCTAGTAATTAATGGAGCAAGCACCTGTTTGTGATTGGAGTTACATCTTTATCGGTCGTTGAGGCGAGATGATGTATGGTTAAATAGTGGTTGAGGACTCAGATGAGAATGGTAAGAGCGGCATGATTGATAAGTCTTCAAATGAATAAATGCATGTGTTTGCTTTCTGTTTCGATTTGGATGAAATTTTTCTTGGCAATCTCAGATATGCAGAGCATACTTATTGTTTACACCGGCACCACTGAAAGGTGAAGAATTCTTCTTTGCCGGCTTAGTCAAAGATTATTCATGCTGAAGACTAAATTGTAAATCTTAGGTGCATGTCGAAACCAGGCTATTCCTTAGTGATACTCGTAAATATCAACTTCATATTTCCACATCCAGAGATCAGTCTTGACGTCAAAAAAGACACATCATTAAAATTTAAACATAGCTTGCATGATATCAATCTAGTTCTCGATCAAATTCTTATATAAAATGTGGCGCGCCACTAGGTTGACGCACTTTACTGGTGTATTCCGACTTTCCCAGCTAGGTGCATCTCAAAGATCCTCTGGATAGCTATGATTACCAGACAATCATTCTTCAAAGTTCACATATAATTATGTAACTGGCGACTTAAATATGACCTGAGCTACTTTGAGTAAAGTAAGTTAAGGCATCATAATTTCAATGGGAATTTGAGGTGTGACTAAAAGTGAGGACTTCAATACAAAGTGATTCAAGTGCAACCAGCCACCAACAAACCTAACTGCTGGTAGTACATAATCTTTCTTTCATGGGCTTATACACCCAACATGTCCTGGCACTTCCATTTTCTAGACAAGGTAGCTTTTGTGGTAACTAGAAAATAGATTTATAGTTCATGGGTGAGGAAATTTCAATGTCACATTTGCGGTCAATGTATCACCAATTCTGACGAGAAAGATCTTCATGGAGTTTATTTGCACGAGCTCAGGGCCTCAAAGACAGGCAAACTCGTTACGACGTTAAATTAGGGACTGTGAGACGGCTTAACAGGGTATGTATACATCATGCTATTGCAGTAGGAGCGGTAGGCCAAGTTCCAAGAGTGTATTAAGTCAACAGTGCGAGAAAAAATCCGAAAGAAAAGGCGCCATCGGTTGGAAGCTGAATTGGACTCCTCTGGTCAAGCCCATGGTGCATCATGACATAAGGCCAAGCATAGCGCGCCAGACGATGTTGTGAGAAGATCAGGCAAGTAATCAGCTGCTGTGAATTGACTCCCAAGTGAAGAATGGTAGAAATCACACTTGCACACATAAATTAAGGTACAGTATGGAAAGATGTCCAGGATACGCCCGAAGACGCTGTAATTACCCCTGGATTAAGTTTCTTTCCGCTACTGTACCAATTGAGACTGAGCCGACCGGCTATTATCACGTCCACGAAGCTTGTTCAATACCATCCGCTGTTATCTGGTCCTCATCTGTGCTGGATTTTGACTAGAAAGTAGCTTGCTTTTCCACAACTTTTGCGCTTAACTATGCGTTATTTTGCGCTGGGCCGACTTGGAGGGAAAGGAAATTGCCAAGGCCTCGGTATACTCCCCGGTAACTCCTAAATACCCCTCAGTCAAGACCTTGCTAATAAATCAGACCTGGTCGCCTTCCTTACTCCCCCCACCCCGCCCACACGCAGAATCGTCATTTAGGCCTCTGTCTTGGAACTCCCGTTCCCTGGAATTCAGAGGTTTAAGCGACCGACCATAAACCTCCCTCTTCGCTTGTTTCCGGCTCCAGCTACCTGTCCATCCCCAGCAATCTCGATGGCGGGAGCTATGACTATGTGGTCTGCAGATTTGTAGATACGTCATCCCCACTCTCCCTGTAATCTCACGAGGAGGTAGCACATGACCTATATTTTTATTTATTCTATCTGAATGGCAGTGTCCCTAATACTCCTGTCTCCACGGTTGTCTAGTTTTTATTTGCTGCCTGTCTGCCTTGTAGGGGACCCTCAACTTCATGGCTTAGTTTCCCAACACGCCCAACAAAATTGAATATGTGGAGTAGGACCGTCAAATATACAATGTGGACTGTTTACGAGTAGGACCCGCAAGCCGTCCGGAACTTGAAACACTATTCGGCAAAGTCCAACTTATAATCTAGGATCTTCCCTAGATAGTCTCATTTTCAGTCTAGCTACTTAACTATCTAACCCTTTTCTCCCACTACATACAGTCATTATCTCCCCTGTGTTGAGCTCTATCTACACATCACTCAATCCTCCATTATCAATACCAGCTAGCTATGGCCTCTCAAGATCAAGTTTGGTGGAAGGAAGGTGTCATATATCAAGTATATCCTGCCAGCTTTAAAGACTCAAATGGCGACGGTCTAGGGGATATCCCCGGTATCAAGTCCAAGATCGACTATCTCAAGGACTTAGGGGTGGACACAATTTGGATATGCCCAATGTATGCATCCCCTCAGCACGATATGGGCTATGACATTTCCGATTACCAGTCTGTTCATGCACCGTATGGTACTGTTAAAGATATTGATGAACTTATTGAGGCTTGTCATTCCCGTGGAATGCGATTGATACTCGATCTAGTAATAAACCATACCTCAGATGAGCACGAATGGTTCAAGGAATCCCGGAGTTCTCAAGATAATCCCAAGAGAGATTGGTATATTTGGAAACCTGCAAAATTTACTGACGATGGAGTTCGAATGCCTCCAAATAACTGGAGGAGCTTCTTTGGTGGTAGTGCCTGGGAGTGGGATGAGGCGACGCAGGAATATTACCTTCACTTATATGCCGTGCAGCAACCTGATCTTAATTGGGAAAACGAAACAACACGAAAAGAGCTGTACGAAAACGCAGTAGAATTTTGGCTACGAAAAGGAATAGATGGTTTCCGAATTGATTGTGTCAACATGTACTCAAAAGTTACAGATTATCCAGACGCGCCCATCGTCAACAAAGGTTTCGCGCAACCTGCCACCAAATTCTTTTGTAACGGGCCTCGAATTCATGAATTCTTGAGAGAATTGAACACCGTTCTTTCGAAATATGATACAGTGGCTGTAGGGGAGCTCCCATTTACCCCTGATTTCAAAGAGGCTTTGCGCTATGTGAGTGCAAAAGATAAGCAGTTAAGCATGGTTTTGCAATTTGATCTTATTGTCCTCGGCCAAGGGAAGTCAATCAAGTTTGAGTATGAAGATTGGAAGATCTCGCAAATGAAGAATATTATTGAGAAGCTGCAAACATTCATTGAAGGTACTGATGGCTGGACCACTAGTTTCCTTGAGAACCATGACCATGGCCGCTCCATCACCCGGCTCGCTTCCGATGCACCAAAGTGGAGAGAGCGATCAGCGAAAATGTTGGCCATAATGTCGTGTGCGTTAACTGGAACGCTTTTTATTTACCAGGGACAGGAGATTGGTATGATAAATGCACCCAAGGACTGGCCCATTGAGGAATACAGAGATATCGAAACAATGAACCATTACAAAGCAGTAACGACAGATGATCCAAAGACTCGGGCACATGCTATGAAATGTCTTCAAATTCTCGCTCGAGACCATGGTAGATTCCCTATGCAGTGGAATGATTCCGAGCATGCAGGATTCTCAACTCAGGAACCATGGATGCGACCTCACCCAAGTTACCCAGAAATAAACGTCGCAAATCAAGTTGAAAACTCTTCTTCTGTTTTAAGTTTCTGGAAACGCATGCTCCAATTGAGAAAGCAGTATAAGGATATATTTATTTATGGAACGTTTATTGGTTACGATATGGAAAGTGAGAAGACTTTTTCTTTTGGAAAAGCAAACAAAGCGATGGTGTTTCTCAATTTTACTGAAACGCCACAGGAGTTCCGGATGCCATCAGGTGGTAGTTGGGAGTTGCTTGTCAGTAATGTAGACGGCGTAGATGCGACAAAAAATATATTATCGGGCTATGAGGGAAGGATATACTTGAACACAAAAGCTTTAGACGCAGAAGTACCAGCAAAATGCATGCCAGTTTTGTAAATTATACGGAAAGAAATGATTTAACGGGAGCAGGAGTAGTAAATGGTTTTTTCGTGAGAAAAATCAACAGCAAATATCCCAGACATGCACATAACACCTCTTGCGTGATGTTGCGTCCAGATAGCTAGAGAGGGGTAGAGCTCATCATCTGAGACCTGACATCAAATAAATGTATTAAAATGCCACTTTACCGACTATGTGCAAGTTGAACATCGTGATTGTGGTTGAGATACATGAGAAATGACATGAGCGTTTAGTCCAAGTGTTAGTACCTAGGCAGCCAAGCCCGTTTGTAGAGGGTACTTCAGCCCCTCAGTGGCAAAACTTTTGATTATGCATGCCTGAGATAAGTGGAATATTTGATACATCAAGCGGGCTTGATACATATGAGTACAAGAGCGGCCATGCTTGTGAAGAAAATAGATAATTCGTCCAAAGCGAAAGAGTTGCTTCCATATTTTGCGCCATAATTGGGGCAAATGCGAAAATTTTGATCAGATCTATCAAGAGCTCAAGCCTTCCGAATGATGGATCGTCACGAACTAGGGTTGTCAGCAGGAGTAGTCCAAAGAAAATGAAAGTATAAAATGCCCGTGTGATTTCGCAGCTAAGCGTCTCATTTCAAACCCGAATAATATCGAATTGAGGATGTACAGTGAATTCAATGTGCCACAGCTGGTAAGCAAGCTCTTTGTGTACAAGAATTTGAATTTCAAGTTCAAAACTGAGGCTACTGTGAGACGTATGTCAGACCAAGCGTGGATCTACGGTATTAATCGAGGGTATTACGGAGATCTAACCGAACTCCGCTATAGTTGCATCTGTACCACATCTAATATGAAGGGCCTCACCTAGCAATATTCCCAGCTTGCCTTTTCCAGAAACTTTGATTAATTCCACTGCACTTGGCGCATTACGGACATGTGCAGTGGGTGTGGCCAGGGAGTAATAGTGGCACCGGTTCCGGAATGATATATCCGCTGTCCTGTCACCATTAATTCGTTACCTAAATATGCACCTTCACACTACAAACATTTCTCCTAGTTAGCCTTGAGCCGAAGTGATCGACAAAGCGCCCCGGCGGAGGTAGGATCTATCAAAGCCTCTTGGACCCATTTCGCCAAGTAACCCCTCGAAAGACTGGCTTGTCTCTCAACAGCTTTGGACAAGTCCACGCGCAAGGCCCAGACCGGGGCTCGAAGTGTTCGCAACAAGCACGATTGACGCGCTCGTTGTACCTGGCCCTTAGTTTTCCCTAATTCATCCATGCTCGGGAATTGGAACGGATCTCTGGACCGAGTCCCGCCTAATAATGCGAGTAAGCTGCACTCATACCAGCGCGAGCGTCGTGTCAGAATTCCTGGGATGGTTATTTATCAATAAATATTTTACCTACAAATTCGTGATGACCACTTCGCGGATTGAATCTGGTAGCCAAATAACCGGCATAGCTCTATCCTTGTCGCAAGACGGTCCTGGCGCACTTACTTTGGCTTCATGGATTTAATTTGTGCAGTCTTACGTACCAGATTCAACCATCACACCAGGTCAGCTTGATACGATTATATTCATCCAGGGGCCGACCATTACCAATACAACTAGCTTCAACCTGCCAGAAAAAAAAGATTGTTTGCTATAAAAAACAAATCTACAATATCCGACAAAATTCTCTGCAGCAAGCCTAAAAAGTTACATCTACTTGCTCCTGGCACTCATTCCGTAGGCGACCTCAAGGACTCCAGGGCGCCGACCTCGCAGTTGCAATTTCATGTCATAAATAAAAAATTGGCCCGACGAACGAGTGGGAACAGCATGTTAACTTTGTGCATCGAGATATTCCTTTTTATTAGACAGGGATCATCGAACTTTTCCTGCTAATATTTTTAGGGATACATGGAAGTGATCACCATTTCTTGCATATAGACAGATCCGTATGCATGTTCAAGGAAGTCGCTGAGAACGCCGGGAGCATAATCTGCAAGCTTTATACAAACGGCTTGACTGCTTTACGCTCTGACACTACCATACAATTTCGGTATGATGAGGGTCTCCTCGGTGCGCATGTTCCCTGTGTGATGAAACAGGGGTGCACTCGGTCGATATGAAGCTCGTTGAAGCATGGCTGTGAGACCCGCAAAGGTTAATGTATCTCGCGGAGTTTTAAGGTTAGCAGCAGCAATAACTTTCCGGAACACAGATCTATTGGTCTATCAAGAACCACGTCCTTGGCCCACTATTAGCCTCTCTAACCATCATGATAATTTTTGCGAGGCCTCGACTGTTACCTGCGGGCTGTACCCATTCAAATGGTATCCAGCATCACGAGAATTTATGTGACTTGGTTAGCCAATAGACATGCCCGAGCCTTGCATGACAGTGCGAATAGTCTACATTAATTCTAACTCCATGTTGACTTTCGTCATTTGACCATGTCAGGTCACACATATCGTTTGTGATTGATTAATTGCCGCCACGGGCACTTGATAAATCACGATTCCGTCGGCACTTATCGCATCCTATCAAATCGGCTGGTCCTCGAGAAGTGAATGAGACTGTCCAAAGGATCAGGCGAAGAATCATGCGAAGCAAAGAGTGTCTCCACTCATTTCTATCTCTTGGGCTTTCGGATGACTAACCTTGAGCCTTTAACATGAACAATATGGAGGGCTGCGAGAGCTAGGAGAGAGAGTAGCTCGTTGCGGGGGAATTTATCTTTTGTCAAAGATACTTCAAAGACAGCACGTATCAATTCCCTGGCAATGTCCCAAAAAGAATTGTAAGGTTCGATTCCACAATCGCTTAACATTGAACAGCTATAATTTGAATTTGCTAATAGTTGGTGGGTTAGAGTGAAGTTGACAAGGTATTGACCTACAGACGCAGCTCGACACCTTTTTTCCTCTCCGGTGGTTGAACCGATCGGTATTCACTGGAAATTAACTGATGCCTACTCTACGTGTCAGGCCAAATGTTCAGCACCATCCGAAGGGCACATATTTCGGAAGCCCTGCTCGCACTTAGATGCTTTTAGACAGGGTGTTGTCGGTAATCCCTGTCTATAAATGGGCAAGGTTGAGCGTAGTGGGGCCTCCAGTCCCTTTGACCAAGCCCAATTTGGCTAGTGTGATCGGGTTCCCTCACCAGGAATTTAGTGGTAAGAGGAGCATGTTCCTCGAGAAGAGCCGGGCACAACAGCTCACCCATCTCGTACGATGGATCCGTCTAGGCTGTCAAGCTCTATGGAGTGGGACAAGGGCTTCACCGAGCCCACATGATCGCAACTATCACAGACATGTAATTTAATTTTCTTTGCACCTGACTGCCTATGCTCTGCGGCTCATGTACGTTTAGGGTGGCACTGCCGAAATATGCTATGGAGTTGAGATTTTCAGACAAGCCTGAAATCATCATGCCAACCATCCCTTTTTTCCCGTGATCATCTTCTCTAAATTTATGCTCGGTCATTTGAAAATTATTTATCTACATAAGTGCTAGATTAGAAGTCTTGTCGTCAGCTCGGGTATCGTACAACAGTTCTGAACTTTAGAGTAGCCGGCTAAGTCTCCCGTGATGTGCGGCCTGCTACCGCTAGGCATATTGGGCAATTGTGTCCCTCGCCCCTTCAGGCCCCGAATAGGAACCAGATGGATGTACATTAGGCAAACTACCATCAAGAAGATATAAATCTTGTCCCACCTAGAAGAAGTGACCAGCTGCCACTCCATCATGTGTTTTTTTTGCGTCAGATTTTAATTGCGCATACAGCTATCTAGCTATGACACAATATCAATGTTGGTAAAATACGAAGTAATACAAATTGGGTGCCGTCACGAAGTCGGCTGTCTCTCACGAAGTCAGTGAATAAAGTCAATTAACTGGTATCTCGAAGTACATAAAATGTTGTCTCTACCTTCCCCTCTCTATCTCCCCTTGCTTCCTCTATTCCAAGCGCCTCGCTAATGAGCTAAGTCAAATCCCTGTCAGTGTCCTAACGACAACCTGAATACCGCAATTAGATTGAACAATTTATACTGCCCAAATATGATCCATTTACCGACAATCAAAGACTACATAACACATGACTTAATATAAGGAAAGAGCACTCATGCCTCGGATTTCATCTGCAAGTGCAACTGCGAAGTCATGGCGGCGTTTTCTTCACCCCAACTCAACCCTCATCCGTGAATACCCACCCAGTGGAACGTCTCAAAGACTCTGGGTTATCCAGACATGCCTCCATCATCCGTTCACATTTCTCCGCGCGAAACATGGTCTTGGGCGTCTCCTTCCCAAATGGAATAGGTGCCACTTCATCATGTGTTGAATTACACTAACCCAACCGTCCAGAAAAATGTCGCTTTAAGTAATCAATTGATCGTTGTGGATATTTATGTAACTGATAGTGTTGGGGGTACTGGCGAACCTGCTTTGATAAATAGCACGGGTTTGATTACTGAGACTCCACAGGTATCAATAGCTTTCGTTGGAAAGAATGGAGAATCAATTTTACATGTATATTTTACAAACTCCCGGGCGAAGTCATAAAAATTGATGTCGTTGTTTTTTTCAAGTCCTGAGCTAAAGTAAAAGCTCTACATCCTACTATGGGTACAGGACCAGTGGAGTCGGTAGGGATCCCAGTGCTCTTCTCCTAAGCCCACTTATTCGAACTGCGTGAATCGCTACCGAAATTTCAGTACATTAAACAAATAAAATAAATCAAAAAATGACCCTAAAACTCACAAGATTATTCCATTTCAGACCTAAGTGATGTGCTCTTCACATCTCCCACACAATAACTTTCTCAATCTTCGCTGAGAGCAAGAGATTGGTTGGTAGATACTTTTGATTTAACCGGTATCCTGCTATTGTTTAGTAACACCTAAGAGGCGTCATCTAGGTCGATGTGCCCTCAAGCTTCTCCTTCCGAAGTCCGATCCCTCCGCCAAGGAGATGTCCTTGTTGGAGGCGATAATCGCATCTTTTGCCTTTTTGGCTGC